AACCCAAACCATTCTGTGATTTACTTTACTCACCCACGACAGCTGTCTAGATTTCACTGGTGGCAACATTTACCATTTTATGGCCCGTTGATAGTGGTTTAAGGAGTTTTGTCTGACTCCCTTGGCTACTGAAGTTATGAGTATGTAAATATGCTGCAGATACAAAAATGTCTGAAGCTAAAAATATCACTGGAATATTAACAGACCAATCTGCAGCAACTGACACCCAGAGGCTCAGACTCATGTACGCGTCAGTCCGCATCAACATCACGCACTCACCCTTAGCGATCGGTGAGCCGGATTCTCCTCCGGACTCTTCGTGCCTATTTGTATCGTGGACAGTTTTGTCGTTCCACAAAGTTAAAATCACAACACAATTCCCCCAAGAACAGAACTGTTGGCTTCCAATTTTCTTAATAGAGCAGGAGTTAGGGAAGCAGGAGTCCTCCTCCACTTCCCAAGGCACTTGGGAAGTGCAATATGGGGTCACTGTCCTCAAGATGGCCTTCTCTTGGCACCCTTTCCATGCCTCCAGTGTAGCTGCATTCGCAGAAAACAAACCTCACACGGGCTACTACCAACAAATCAGCGAGTTATTTCTGCGCGTGGTTTTTCACCGAAACACACATCCAAAGGCTTAAAATCCGACCATCACGAATCCTGCTCCATAAGAAATGCATTTATGAAACGGATTTCTGAACCCCAGCCACAAACGGCTGAACGCGCCTACAAAACGAGGGGAAAAAGGGGGGGAAAAAAAAAAAGGGAATACCTAACGATGCACTTCCACGTGGATCCATCCTGGTCATCCTGCTCTTCTATGTACATCCGGACGTTATGTTCTTGATCCAGCTGGTACCAGTACATCAGGCCATCCTTGTCTCGCCCAATGGGCTGAAGACGCATGGCATCAGCATCCTCCTCGTTAATTATATTCTTAAACTTCAGATTGTCATCAAACTGACATTCGCAGAGATACTGGAAAAGGGAGAAAGTAGGACTATTAGGCTATCAAAATATAAACAGAAATGAGAAAAACAGCTCATTTCCTGTCATTTGGAACTATTTAGGCCTCTCTCTTGGATCAGTGAGTTAGCTACAGCTACCAGTTGGGGTTTTTTCCAGACCATGTTTTTAAATGAGAGAATTTTTATTGGGTTTGGGTTTTTTTTTTTCCTGGCCAGCTTAGAAACTGCATTTCAATTTTTTTTTTTAACATAATACAAATGATCTCACTCTACAATAAAACCCAGATGTTAAGTTGGAGCCAACCCCGCCGGTTTCCTCAAGACTTGAAAAGATGAAGTCCCATCTCTGCCTTTGGGATTCAGATCAGCTTATCCAGCTTCAGGTTTGATCAGCTTTTGCAAAAGCGTAGCGCGCAGGCAGCTAGCCACGGAGAGCAGCGCGTGGAGAACCACTCTCACACGAAGCACGAGCGCTACGCAGAGTCGCCTGGAGTTTGGGCCCGTCCCACCGCAATGAATGTCATGTCTGTTACGGGATCAGCTCCACATTCAACACGGCCAAGCTAAATTCACAGGATGTTTAAATGAGCGAGAAAGCCAAATCTCCACAATATCTGAGGGAGTGAGAAAAAAGTCATTTAGAAGCTTAATAGATCGATGTGTACCTTCAGAATCCCCAGTTTGCACTCAACACTCATTTCTAGGTAGCCTTTTTTTTCCATCTCCCAAGCCCAAGTGCTGTTGAATTCTTGGCATATCTGTCACACACAAAATGAAAAATCACTAGGGTTAGTGGATAAAAACAGCTTTAAACTTCAGATTAATAAAGCCTTAGTGCAGTAACCATTAGACGCGATCTCATCAGGACTGCAAGTCAGAAAGCCTCACACAAAAAATACGAATAAAACTGGAGTAGGTTGGGAAGCACTGGCAAATCTCCACGGAAGAGTATGTATCATCGAGGCCGCGATAACCACCACCTTCTCTAAACCTCTTACACTCGGCAGCACAGCCCTGAACCGAGGGGTTAATCTTGTCTTTCCTACGCAACATCTCCCACTTTTGGCTCACCCATTCAGAATATAAATTCTCCTGAGTAGATGCAATTTCTTATTACACGTCTCCCCAGCACTCAGCACATCAGCTGCCAAGCTCTCCTGGGGCCTCCGAGTCACCCTGGTTTGGGTTGGAAGGGACTTAAAGCCCACCCAGTCCCACTCCCTGTCACAGGCAGGGACACCTTCCACTAGACCAGGTTGCTCCAAGCCTCATCCAGCTTGGCCTTGGACACTTCCAAGGATGGGGCATCCACAGCTTCTCTCGGCAACCTGTGCCAGTGCCCCACCACCCTACCGAGGAAGAATTCCTTCCCGATATCCAATCTCACTCTGCATTCTTTCCATTTAAACCCGTTACTCCTCATCCCGTCACTCCAGACCCTGCTAATAAGTTCCTCTCCAGACAACAAGTCCTGCAACTGTACCACAGACAACAAATGCAACGCATGTTCGCTCCACACTGTGGAATTATTATTCTTTAGAAAATATCTTTGGCTTCAAGCTGCTTCTTAAGTATTTTAAATTCTTTAAAGTACAGCCAATTTCAACTTACTTAAAGCAAATAGATTCAATGACACCAGTACGGGGGAAAAAACCCACCAAAAAGGTGGCAGTGGAGGAAAAAGATTGAATCAGCACGAGCTTCATGAATAACACTGAAGGAATTCCCTCTCTTCCTAAACTCCACGGACATGCTGAGGATGCCTCTCATGAAAAGAGAAGAGCTGCTTATCAATTGAGGGCAGAGAGAGGGATCTCCAGTCAGGGAGGCTCTTCCAGTGGACATACCCGTTAGCCAGGGGCAGAAGCTAATCCCAGCAGCGCCTCAATCGGCACCGCAGGTACCGCCGCCCTCCAACCTGCAAGGCAGCAAAGCCCTGCCCAACGGTCTCAAACGAAACAGCGCAGGCTCCCCGTCACCAAACCCTTATTAAACACAAGACACAGTCAGGAAGCTACTTCAGAAACCTTCTAAATCCCACCTGAAAGCTGCTTTCTCTGGAAACGGCAATAAAGCTGCCTTTCACCCCCAAAAGTACAGATCAGCTGATTCGTGCTGTGATATTCCAGGTGGGCTACAACCGAGAAAGGTGCCGCTGCTCCACCTCTGTCCCCAGGGCCCTGCTCCCTGCCCTCCGCTGTCCCTAGCACCGACACCAGGAGATCCAAGGGTAAGGCTGCAACGAGGTCAGTTCAGCCACACCATAAATCCCACTCGGACGTTAAACCACATCCTACAAAGAACGGTGAAGAGCGTGCCCTCTGGTCACTGCGGATCCTGCCGCCCGGTAGTTTATCCAGCCCCACGACCAGGAATGTTACAGGGGCGCCTCTCTGATGCAAGACCAAAGCTCATAGAAGAGAGAAAGGCTGCTCGCTGACAAAACAAGGTTCCTCTGCTTGCTCTCTCATCTTCAGCAAGGTGAAAGATGCTGGCAAACTGTAGCGAACCCTTGCTAAGGTGTGTGCCAGTCGCTGTTCACTGCTTACTCCTTACATACGACAGCGAGGATGGGAAGTTTCAGGTGCTGCAGAATCATAGAATCACAGAATGTTTTGGGTTGGAAGGGACCTTAAAGCCCATCCAGTTCCAACCCCCTGCCACGGGCAGGGACACCTTCCACTAGACCAGGTTGCTCCAAGCCTCATCCAGCCTGGCCTTGAACACTTCCAGGGATGGGGCATCCACAGCTTCTCTGGGCAACCTGTTCCAGTGCCTCACCACCCTCTCCGGGAAGAACTTCTTTCTGATATGTAGTCTAAACCTCCCTGCAGGTGACTGTCACAGCAACAGCTTCGAGACGTCAGAGCTGAAGAAGCATCTGTTGAAACCAAAGCGACTACATTTTGAGAATTAAAAAACAGATGATCACGCTTTCTCCCGAGATCTACTGTGATAACCCTCAGCTACAGGTCTCTGATTCAGGCTCCACTGAGATGTTAGCCTCTGCCTTCAGAGGGGAACTCTTCACACCAACAAAAACCTGCTGCTTGCATGAGCAAATGGCTCTGCATGCTGAGAGTGGTCAGCAGCACCTTCCCAGCCTGCGAGGGAAACGTGGAAATATCTCTCCCTCAAAGAAGGAGCGAGTCCAGAGGAGGCCACAAAGATGCTCAGAGGGCTGGAGCACCTCTGCCATGGGGCAGGCTGAGAGAGTTGGGCTTGTTCAGCCTGGAGAAGAGAAGGCTCCGGGGAGACCTTATAGC